AACACAGTTTCACGGGCTTGAAGGTTCGATCCCAACAACACCACATACACCGACACAGTTTCACGGGCTTAAAGGTTCGATCCCAACAACACTTACAACGACTGAGCTGACTGAGGACGCGAAGGTGGCCGTGAGCTGTTGTGTCTCAGGTTGCGAGTCGAGGGCTGCTCCACGGTGTGCAGCTCTTCAGACGGCTTGTCGAAATTATCGGAATTGTCCGAATTGCCCGATTTGTCCGTACCAGCGGTCCGTTTCTCGGCCGACACCCGTGGATTGGATGAGGGGACCCATTTGCCCTCAGTTTGTGTGCTATCGGGTTCGGTATTGAACAATACAGTGTCGGCTGTAGTTGAGCTTGAGCCAGATAGCATCGGTTTGGGGTGATGTGCTACCGTGCTCGTGTGTTTGTTGGTGTGGTTACTGTCGCGTGTTGATGTACTTTGCCCATTACCCTCATTCGCTTCCAGTTGTGCTGTGTGGGTGCGAGTGCTTGTGTCTGTAACTCTGTCTGTGCCTGTAAGCGTTGTTTTTCCGTCTTCCCCGAGGCTCGGCTTCGGCAATTGTGTTGTATCTGCTAAAACAGTACCAAAAGCAACAGTAACATGTTTGACCATTAGAATTGCATGGAAGGCGCGAGCACTGGATGAATTCTGCGAAGCAAGGTAAAAAATCTAGCGATATACATAGATAAGCGATTTCACATTTCAAGTATAGTTCTCCGAACCATAACCCTGAAATTCAGGTTGACACATTCTCACGGAACACATACACAATTTTTACATACAGTTGCAAAGCCTATACAGTCATTCCACTCTCATAAATACAATTCTCTAGGTTTGTGTTTGCTTATCCGTCTCGTATTGCTCACTTGTGAATGCTTACCCATTCTGTACGGTGCATGTATTAATTAATACACACCCATTGTGCGACATGCGTGTGTTGTGAGTGCTGTGAGTGCTCATAATGTATATGTGTGCCTAGGAATGCCGCTACAATCCAGTAGTGTGCTATACATACACACACAAACACACAGACACAGACAGACACATACACATACACAGACACAGACACAGACACAGACACAGACACAGACACAGACACAGACACAGACACAGACACAGACACAGACACAGACACAG